CCTCCTGAAGTAAATGGATGCCTAATGAGATAGATGGGTACGTGTGAATGTCATTACGAAATACTACATTTATTTTGATCTGAAACGGGCAGGGACAGGAACCCAGAAATCGGTCCAGACGCAGGGGTCTCAAGCCGCATGAATCAAAACAATGTAATATTATCAATTTTATCTTTTACTAGTGTTTATTTTTACTATCTAACTAGTGCGGCTTATTGTAGCGTCGTTCTGAAAATGAATGAACTGAAAAAATTGCTTAAAAATATAATTTGGGGAAATATTTTACTTTGCCCGGCACTTCATTATTCAATACTTAGGACCCAAAAATGACGTGAATAGACTCAGCAAGACAGAGAATGTCAATAAGACTGAAAAAGTCAATCTGTCCCTGTCCGTGTGTGGTCAACGCTGGCGCCTAAACCGTTGACCCGATTTTTTTCAAAAAATTGATATTTCTCAATCGATCTGGCTGGTGTCGCGTCCCCTTGAATTTGAAACCGATATTTTAATTTTGGAAGGGTTTTTACATGAAGCTCATGCGACATTTTCACAATTTTGAAAAAAAACTGGTCCACATTTTTTTCTTAAATTTTGTTGTCTTAAGCGTAAAGAACGCTTAAGAGAATGGTAAATGTCGAATTTTCTTTGAAATCTACGATTTTTCGAAAATTCCAAAAGTTCAGTTTGTTTCGGTGCCTTCCTACAACTAAAATATTGAAGATTGATATTTTTTCCTTAATGATATATTTTCTTTACAGACAGATTTTGAAATAAGATCATGCACAATTTTTCGAAAATGTGAGTAGTTCTAGTAGAAAACGCCACCGATTTTTTTTTCTTTAAATTTTCTTGTATTTAACAAAGAACGGTAAAGGTCGAAAAAATATTGGTGGTTTTCGTGTATTCGACGAACTCTTTATAATTTCGAAACCTTTAAGATTTTAACATTTAAAAATTGCTAAACTTTAAGGTAGAGATTTTTGACTTAAACAAAATATGAAGTTTGAACATTAAGTTTGTGTTTGCATGCTATGCTTTGATCGCTAATTATGGTATTCAGAAATTGTTAGCTCTCTTTGATGTAATTAAGGTAAACTTGTGAATTTATAATTTCGTTTATGTGTAATGTGTTCCAAATACTGTAAAAGTTAAATTTTTCATGTTTGATTCATTTGTAAAAGTCAGACATTACTACTGTTCTTGGCTATCGAAATAAATTCGGATAAGCACCACAAGCACTCCGTTCAAATTGGACTTATTGGACATTTTCAAGTTACGATTTTTTAGTTCAACAAAAAACAATATATTACAATATTCAATGTTCCCGTAACTATTTCCATATATATATATATATACTAATTATATATTATATAATATAATATATATATCACAAACTTGTCTACATCGAAGTGAACTAACAATTTCTGAATATCATAATAAGCAATCGAAACTTCATAAAGTAACAGAAATGTATTGTATTTATTACTTCTAGGTTAAATATAATATGTCCTTCATTAAATCTACTTCCTTTCATAATGTTATCTACATTATTTTATTCACACGACCGGCAACAATTACATAAATCCTAAGAATTTCCAACCATCGTATTACCGTTTTGCGAACAGCGTGTCAAACAAAACGCAGAAAATTCAAATTTACAATATAGAATGTTTTTCAAATATTAGAAAATACAGAAAGTGAGCCGAAAATGGTGCTAGCACCCCCTTTTTTATCGTTATTTGATACATACGTGGAATATTTACAGAAGAAACTCGAAGCCGTTTTTGAGAAAACAATTATTGAAACTTTGAAAATTGCCAATGTTTAACGCAAAGTTACACAAAAAATCTTCACATTTTGACAAATTGACCATGAACTTATTTTAACATATGTTTTTGATTAATACATTTCATTAAGAAAAAAAATCTTCCTAATTGTAGTTGTAGGAAGGTGCCGAAAAAAGTGACCTTTTACTTCATTATTGAAATAAAACGTTTTTTTAAGAAATGAGATCTTCCAAATTAGATTTTTAATTAATATTATTATCAAATTGCGGTTTTCGCGTAATATTCAGTGGAAGTATGATGAATTAAAAACAATGCCTAGACTAGATTTTCTCAAAAACGCTTGCAAAGTTATTTTTTTTACTTTGGGAGGTTTTTTTTACTGGAAGCAAAGTGCACTTAATAATACGGCAATGTTCCGACATTCATTAAAATCTATGAAATTTCGAAAATTGCAAAAAGTTAAGATATTATCAGAAACTATCGTAAAAGGCCAGTATTAAATCTATAGACTACTTGACGCCATGCATTCCTCAATATTAGATCTTTAATCATTTCATGAATAAATTTGTCGGAACGAACGGAACATTAAGAATTCATAGTGATAAATTCTCTCGTAGTAATTTCTCTAGTAGTAATAGATTCTTGGCTTTGGTGGTAACCCAATGACATGAACTAGAACAGTGGTTCCAAACATTTTTTTTTCATCGGGCCCCTTTAAATGGATGGTTTGCTTCATCGACCATTCTTATTCCATTTAATAGTACAGAGCTTAAAAGATAAACATAATACAAAGAATTTCACGTAACGAATTTCAAAATAAACAAAGAATATGGACAGAATCTTAAAACAAATGTTTTTTTAATCATTAAGATTATTACTAATATTAATCTTACTACTATAAACATGTATTCGAAAACAAAATATATTAATTTTTTTTTCAGTACCGTCTCCGTTGGAAAACCCTGAACTACAGGTTTCAGGTTCGAATGCTAGTCCACGCAAACAATGCATATTTAACCACAGTTAACATGCAACCCTTCAGGTTTGTTACGTGCACTTGTACCGACCTGTATGTTAAGAAATTGAACATCTATAACAACGTAAACAAACAACCATCGACTCATCGCAAGTCAACTGCTTATTAAGCAAAAATATGGCGATGAACAAAACAAATCAGATACAAACAAATCAGAATCAAATCAAATCTTATTAGTTTTGAGGATAATTGTTATTAACTGTGATATTATTAATAGTACAATTAGGAAAATGTATATTAGGTAAATTAGCAACATTTTCCTAGCATTCCACCAAATGAAAGTCTTTTACGGTAATCATATTTACGAACGGTGTCAGAAGTGGCGTAGTTTGGGTGTGGCAGGAGGGGCGGCCCGCCCCGGGTGACACCAATTAGAAAATTTTGTATTTGGAATCACATAATTTTAATGGTTTATTTAAAAATTATATACGTTATTAATCGTTGTGCATTTACATCAAAAGTACGGAGAAAGCAAAGAAAATAAAATGAAAAAATATTTAAACTAGTGGTGCTAAAACAGTGCATTTTTTTCTCGCAATTCTCAATATTACAATGTTACCGTTATGTACAACAATACGAACATTATGCTTCATTAATTTTAAACAGAATGACATGGACTTTTTTAAAGAGCTTATTTTGTAAAACAAGCTTTGTCTGGGGCAAAAATCTCTATCTTCAATTTTGTAGTTTTGAATTTTTTTGCAATTTTCGAATGAAACGAGCAATACTTGAAAATAGATTGGCATCATATTTGCGGTCTTATCGTCTCTTATATATGTGGAGAATATTTAAAGAAAAATTTTGGAGCAGTTTTTGAGAAAAAAAAATACGATTGTTCCAAGCGCAAATTACCAAGCGCAAACACAAAAACCACTTACTTTTCAAAATATTATTCATAACCCTTTTTAAAAAGCAAATTATACACAACAGACTGTGTCTATGACAAAAATGTACATTTTTGTAGTTTTAAAAATATATTTTTGAAATTTTCAAAATACCGAACAATACCCGAAAATGGGACTAACACCATATTTACATACCATTTATATTTACCGTCCATTATTACATAAGTGTAGAAAATAAATAAAAAATTGGGAGGGTTTTTTGAGAAAAAATGCGATACATTCAAGCCCAAATTACGCAAAAAAATAAACAACTTTTTTTAAAAAAAAATGTACATAACCTTTTATAAAGAGCTAATTTTGTACAACATACTTTGTCTTAGGGGAATTGGGGATGTCAAAGAAAATGAGATCTGCACTACTCTTAAACGTTCTTCGCACTATTCAACAACAACACTAAAAAAATAATCATCATACCTCAACCACAAACTTAAACTAATCAAAAAGTTTGAAGCCATTTTTTTAAAATTTTGAAAATATTCTGGTAGTTTTAAGGTTAGTTATAGTTAGTTTATGTAAAGTACCCATAAAATTAAAATATCGGGTTCAAAATCCAGGGCCGCGACACCAAAATGGTTTCGGAATATCGATTTTGGAGAATATCGACTAAACGGTTTGTGCGGTAGCGTTGTGCAAACGGACAGACGTTTTGCTGTCAATCACTTTTTTGGTATGAAGGATGCACGAAACACGGATAGGGTAAGTAATGTAAAGCTGCAAAAAATTGATTTCGAGACTTCAACGTAAATGCACGTTTTGGTGTTCCCTGATGCCGAAAAAGTGTTGTTTTTTTTCTCAAAATCTACGTGTCTGTCTGTCGGTCTGTTAACACTACTTGAAGAAACCCCTGTCCATCTGTCTCTAGTCGAAGCTTTGACATTTAAAAAAAAAACATTCTTCAAAATTTGGGTGTACTTTACATAAAGCTCCCTGGATTTTCAAAATTTTAAAATACGACTACATATTTTTTATTTAAATTTCTTGCAAACCTAGAGTAAAATACACGTATAAAGATGGTATATGTCCGATCTTCAGGGTTAATTCTGAACTCGAAATTTTGAATTTTTCTGGAGTCTTCCTACAACAAATTGAAGATAGAGAGTTTTTCTTCAAATGAAATTTGTTCTTCATAGTGAGTTTTTCCATTAAGGTCGTTTTTTTAAAATTTAGTAGTTTTTGCGCAATGTTACCTGCATGTGGGCAATTTTAAAAAATAACAAAAACAAAATTGTTTCAAAAATGATTACCAATTTTTTTTCCTTTTGACTTTTGGTAGGGATAGTGCTAAATGTCCTCTATAAGATAACAAAAATAGATTTTCTCGATCCTTTTGTTTTTTCAAAAATTACAAAAATGTAATTTTTGACTTGCATCTCTCTTCCTTAGTATTTGCATTGGGCGCAATTAGTTCACATTATTGTATTAAGAGTACATGTTATTTAAATAAAGTCATGTAAAGTTTCTCAACCGTTTTCTGAAAAAACTAGCTCAAAATTCCGCATTTTCAGAAACGCTCAAACGCCATTTTCTCAAAAGTGGCTCCAATTTTTTTCTTTAAACTTTGCTAATGCACTCTTTAATATGCCGCAAAGTTCATTTTGTTGTTTTTTTACAAACTATTCAAATTTAATTTTTTTGAAAGACCTCACACGCCGTTAATATGCATATTGCCAGCAATTTGCTCAGAAATCTCAAAAATTTTCTGTGAAAAAGAGCTTCAAATTTCGAATTTACAGTTGCGCTAGAATACCATTTTCTTAAAAGGCTTAAGAACACTCATAACTATGGGGCGTATTTTAATGAAATGTTTTTTTTTTACTTTTTACTTTAGAACAATGCCGTTTAGTGTAGAATTTTATTTTATGGTATGACAAAACGAAATTACCCATTTTCATACATATT